CGCGGATCGCTCGCACACCCCGCGGAGTTTAACTTAGTTTTGAGCACAGGCGTATTTGCCTTCTGCTGCCCGTTCAGCCTGCTTAGCACTTTTTTCGTTCGAAAAAATAACATCAAGAGGGGAAAAACAAAAACACACTTGAGCAGAAAAACCGCACCTAGAAAAGTTAGCGCCGGGGCACTGGAAGGTTTGTTGGGGCGGTTTGAACGTGGGATCAGGATTTCTGCCCTCCGTTCTGCAGTTTGGGGGTTCTTCACATGCACACGCACCCACAAGTAGGTAGGAGACTTGTTAACAAATAAAAGCTCAACACCTGCACAGTTTGTCAATGACAGCAACAAAACAAATTGCACACAATAATAACAGTTAGCTAGATCAGACTGTCTGGCAACATCATCAGTAGGACCGTAACTCCATCATCGCCTTCCATCTCCCTGAAACACGCTGCGATGCCAGTGATGACTCCACGCTGTGCTGGAGTAACACCATCTGCGTGCCGGGCAGGTGCCGGGGTGCTTCCAGATCACACACGGGGAGAACAGCCCCAGCCTGGCAGACGGAGAAGGGTTTGCGTGAATGGAGAATGCTACAGACAGAACTGCTACACAGAAAGCATGTGCTGTAAGATAGTTGTGTATGTCTGATAATGTGGTTGCCTGGTGATAAAGGCTAATGGTTCACACTTGTAGTGTAAAATACTTGCTTCCTGTTCAAAGAGGAATGCAGGATGGGAAAATCCCTATCAAATAATATGGAACTACACCCGTCCTTGGAACTTAATAGGATGCTAGAAAGAGCTGGGACTTAAACACTTGGTCTAGTTTGGTAACTCCAAAACTTCTGAGGGGAGTCAGAAAATCTTTTTGCTTACCACCCAGAGAGGCTGAAGAAAATACTTAGTACTGAAAAATAACTTACATCCTTATTTCATTATGTCCAAAAATAATTCTAGCAATTCACACTGCTGTAGCACAATGATCCCTGCAGGCTTCCATGGTGTCAGGTGCAGCAGCATCATCATTCATGCCACTCAGTACATATGCACTGTTGTCAAATCTCCAGGTCATCTGGCAAATTCTAGTGAAAGAGATCTATTCCCCTGTCCCACATTGCACAAGGTCACACCCAGAGTGCTTGAACTCTTCTGTCGTATTTTTGGGTCACCTAATTTCCTAACCTGCTTCCTTTATAATTTGCTGCTAGCTCAGGCACAGGAGTAACAGGCTGCAACTCTCTTGCATTTTGTTTAGTCTCCATGTATTGTCTTATGTCAGTTCAGCTAGAGAAACCTGGGTCTTCATTAGCATATTTTATTTCAAACACTTTCAAATAGCAGTGGTGAGAAAGCTAACTATTTCATAGCTACATGATGCACCTTCCAGTTAAAAGTTCACATGAATTCTTCCATACCATCAAAGGGGAATCGGAGCTTTACAAGCAAAGGTAGAGAGGCCCTACGCTACGCAAGAACGACTGAGAACTGCTTACTGGTACAGAGATTAGAAATGCTTGTTTACTCTGCTCTTCAATAGAGAAACAACTGCAGTATGAACACAGTATGTGTCTCAATCAACACCTAGGATGTCATTCTTGAACACATACACAATTTCACAACATTCTTTACTGGCACTTAAAAGACTTACTTTACCATAAAATGAAAGACGGGATAACCCCAGTGGTCAAAAACCATCAGCACTGGGGTTCTCCTAATGAGGTGTTCTCATGGAGGACATCAGCTAGCTGAGCTGGATGAACACACATTGGCTCTGGCTAATAGGGGGACAAACTAATTTTTACAGTTTGTGTTTGGCTTAATGAAGTTTAATCATCTCTAGATACTGAGATTATTTTTCTTTTTCTATGCTTTGCTAGAGTATGGCCATCAGCACATCAGCTAATACTGTTCAGTCATGACAGAATTCCCAGGAGAGACCCTGTGCTGAGAACTGGGGAACGGGAATATAGCCAGGGAATGGTTAACAGCTCTTGTCCTTCTCTTTACAGTAATTGTTTCTGTCCTATCTTGAAATTTTTCCACCTATTGCCTCCTGTGTTGGACATACATATCAATTCTGTTTATTAGAAACTCCTGGGAGATTCAGGCTCTGAAAGTACTGAGTTTCAAGCCAACTCAGTTCCTTCTCTCTGTCAAACTTTGGGTCATCTCTCAGTCTAGCTTTGGACATCGAGCAAGGTGTCTTGCTCAGGGTCTGCAGACGACAGAAATTATGAATTATCTTACAAAAGCTCTATAGGTAAATTTTCCCGCAAGAACAAAGAATGAGTCAATGGGCAGAGCTATGGGATATCATTGGTTGCACTGCTATCTTTCCAGTCCTAAAATCACAGATATTCTTAAATATCTTTTTTTTTTTTTTTCTACACCACTACTCCAGGAGGGAACCCTTCTAGCACTAGAGCAAGTTTTGCTACCTCAAAAGAATAATCCAATGGGTTTCCCATAACTGTTGGCTTATGTATCTGCATACATAAGATGTAATAAAAACAAAGGTACTAATAAACATGGAGAAATTTTATTTCATTATCTTAGTAGTTTTGCTTGGCTGCCGAGCAAGCTAAAGAGAAAAAATGAGGTGGCATTTCTATACTTGTGTAGCACACTCAGACCTAGTCTTTAATAAAGTTTAACAAGATGCTCATAATGGCGTTACAGCTTGCCTTATGATATTTATAAGGAGCTACTAGATAAAGGAAAAAAAAAACCACACAAAAAAACCCCAAAAAACAAAACCAAAACCATTTAAACTTGAATTGGATGGTATGTATAAAGGAAATCAGTGGAAGGAAAAAGGTTTCCTTTCCTCTTCCTCCCTCAGTTTCTCTTTATTCGAAAAGTCTCAGCAATTACTCAGCCTTAGCAATTTAGTTAGAGCTAACTTTACATGCAGATAGTGGGTTACAGACTTCTATATCTTCAACAGATGGATATAAAATAGGCAGTAAAAAGGAAGCATGTTGTAACGCCACAAGTGCTAAGCCACGTAGGTATTGTGACACTTGTTTTCAGCATCGCTTGTGCTATCTAGCAAAAAGAAATTCTGTCATCCTTCCAAAATCTACACCCACACAGGTTCAACAAATACTCTTAAATGTTGAACAACAGCATCAAAGACATGGAAGTGGTAGAAAATGGCAGCCCCCTGTACATCTGAAAAATGTGATGTGGGTAATGTGGACTGTTATGTTCTTAAGATTGGCTGTGATTAATCTAAGATGCCAGCAGACACACTAAGGGCCTTTCCATGCTTGTAAAAATAGGTGGTTCTCAATAAAGCATGAGAACTTGCAAGAACTCAGAAAGAAAGTATAAATACACACCGTATTCCCTCATTGAACATTGAATTTTACAAGGACATGGATGTGTATACATCCCCACTTTCTTATTAGCCAATTTGTTGAGTTTCTTTCTTTTATAAACTCCAGGGAAATTTCCTGATTAAAAACTAGACATACTGGCTTTTGGGTTAGATCTTGAAGTTCCACATGTACAAAACTCCTGATAGTTTACTCCAGTTAGTTTTACTTACACGAGGCATACACCACCCAGTGGTAGTTATATAGACCTTTTTATGTTAAGTAACTTTGGAGACAGCACCGGTAGTGTTAACAACAAAACCTATTTGTATTTTAACAAGCTCCCAGTAACAAAAAGCTAGAGAGTAAGAAGCATTCAGCAGCACTGAAATGCTGAATGAATAGCTAGAAACATCTGTGTTTTGGGAGTAGCCTGCTGAGAGACCCCAGTGGGACTTCTGCACAAAGATAGATGGCAGAATGTAACCCTTCTGTGAACAACTCTGATTTTTGGAAACATTCTTCTGCTATAAAAAAAAATAATCCCCAATCTTTATTAAGATCTAGAGAGCTAGAGTGTTTATTTTTTGTATAAGTTACCTACTTCCATAGGACTTGTCTGCCTTACAAGGGCAGAGACAGACCCAATGGCTGTATTGTAATATGAAACAGGCCACAGAAAACTTTCAGGGCAGTTTAGTATGAACAGATTGGATGGACCTTGCCCTTGCTGACTTCCTGGAAGCAGGATATGCCCACTATGTGCTCTAACCTGCTTTATAAGATGATAGTGAGGCTCTGTACAGATTTTAAAATTCTGCAAGCTCTCATTAAGCTGATAAGGCAACACTCCAGAAGGGGGAATTCTCAAATATCACCTTGTCACTTTGGCTGATCGATAAACATCACAACTTACATGTGTTTGCCTGCTGCTCACAGTACAAAGGAAAAGCAGTGTTTGTAGCAAATTAAGTAGTGTGCATTCCATTTGTGAGTTTCAAGGAGCAGAGTATGTCACTGGAGAAATCATCAACTACAGTCACTTCTACTGGCTATTCTCACAAGTGCTATATCCTCATTAGAGCTCTTTTCTGGCAAGAGCCCATTTTTCTTTTTTTTAAAAAGAGACTCCCTAGCTGTATGACTCTGTAAGTGATCAACATCAATGCACTCAAAACAAGTCGTTATAACACATTTTAAGTGCTCCCAAGTTCTGTAAGAGGCTATGCTGAATTAAAGAATAAGAAGAGGATTAAAATTAGACTCTCATCAACTTAGGGCAAGATTTACCCTGATATTTGGATTACATCTAAAATTTTACTGATGCCAAATGCAGTTGACTAATGCCTAGTATGATTAACTGATGTGCTCACAGTGGGGGAGGATGATGCTCAGTCTCAGTTAACAAAGCTATTGTAGTTTTTGTACAAGATACTTGTAGTCTTAATGTTCACTCTTACCTCATTTTCCTGCATAGTCACAGGCAAAATTAATATTTCCCATGGAAATATGTGAAAAAAAGAATTTACCAACATAAAGTACTTTTTTTGTGAGCCAAAGTATTTGCAAGGTCAGTCATGTTCTGACTACTCATTAGGAAGCATGTAATTGTCAGATTAGTCACTGGAGACTTATTGTATCATAAGAATCAGATTAAGCTTTTCATGAATTTACGAATAGCTGCAGATAAATATTTTAACAGTTCTCTAGCTGTCATAATGTACACTTTTCATCTCCTCTGAAGCATTATTTTTTTACAGTATTTTTAGACCACATTATTTCTAGGAGAAATTGTTTGCTTCAAAGAACAGTTCGCCAGCACTTTAGAATAGAAGTATCTTACAATTTACCCTAATGCTTCCTTTCCTATTCATACTTCCACAGGCTGTAATGCAGGACTGAGAAATCCACAGTTCAGGTACCACAGACACCATACAACCAAATCCAAATATCCCCAAGCAGGGCCAGCACACAGGCAGCAGCCAAGGGCTGGGGCACATTGAGAATGACGTCTGTGAAACTATCGCCTCCCGCAGAGCTGTGGCCCTGGCTAGCACACTGCTTCGCCAAAAGCAAGCTCTGGTGCTGACCAGCAGCACCTTGCCTTTCTGCTAGGCTCTGCCCCCTGCATTTTGCCAAGTGTCTGCCAATTTAATTACTATTTTGAGAAAGGATATAATCTAGCACTTTACATTTCAAAGGTAGGTGACGTTTGCCTTGTAATATCAGAGTTTACATTCCAAAATAGCACTGATGATGATCATAATAAATCAACTTTGAAGTAATCTCTCTGCAAAGCCTACGCC